AGAGAGAGAGAGAGGTTCATTCTACTAATTCTGTTACTCTCTAGAGAACCCTGACTAATACACAGGAGATCCCGAGATATGTTCTCAGGAGCACAGTACATTAATAACAAAACAGAGGCGAGCAGGGACACTGCTCACCATTCACAACAGGCAAGTGTGGAGGAGCAGGTGGCTGAAGATGCCCCCCAATAAAAAGGCACAATCCTAGCTTAGTTCTGAAGCCTAAATCAACACTGGTTTGTTTGGGGTTTTGAGACATCTTTTAGCTTTCCTGTGTAATGTAATTCTCTTTACTTCTATGTAAGTCATAGACCTTTAAATAGTCTTTCTCTCTCCTCCCAGCGCCCACGCACTAGATAGCTCTGACAATCGAAGGCAGGGCTGCCGGGTAACCTGCGTGCAGGAAGAGTTGCGTGAACCCTTCCTTCTCACAGCTGCTGGCTTTGTAACATCCTACACAGACAGGGATTTCCTGGAGCAAATTGCTACTTTTGGAGTATCAAATAGATGAAGCAATGTTGAGGAATTTGAAAACTGCTCTATTTTGAAAGATTTCAGATCTTCAGGAAGCAAAGACCTGAGAACTTAAAAAGTTATGTTAGTGATGTCTCTGTCCTAAAATTCAATTTCCAGATAAAAGTTTCACAATGTTTACAGAATAATTTTATATATATTTGGAGAGAGAGAACGTGTGTGTGTGAGTGTGTGTGTGTGTGTGTGTGTGTGTGTGTGAGCATGCTCATGCTCGTGCTCGTGTATATGTAGAGGTCAGAGAACAGCTGTGGGAATCAGTATGCTTCTTCTATCATGTAGATTCCAGGAATGAAACTCAGGTTGTCAGGCATAGATAGCAGCAAGGTCCCGTAGCTACTCAGCCATCTGCCAGCCCTGAAATAATTTTAAAAGCACATTTAAACTGTTTGTTCTCTGGTTATTATAGAACATTTAGCAATATGATATTTACCCTTAAGTATTTACTGTTGTGGATTTTCAATATCCTAAATGTATTTGATAAGTATAAATATGTGTGTTTTCTTCTCATTTATCTGGTAAAACTCAAGAAGGGTAGTCAAAACTGCTGTAACTCTATTGCTAAAATTTAGCTGGAATAAATCGTGTTGGCATACCCAGTAAACTTTTACAGAACTTATATAGGTTGGTAACCCAATTGAACCATAACTACTATATATGATTTTCAGGAAAAATGAGTCTCCAATTTTCAAATTTTTTAAATTACTTATATTTACAATATGGTCTAACTGGGGTCACTGAGCATGGCGGTGCATGCCTTTAATGCCAGCCAGCACTCAGGAGGCAGAGGCAAGCTGATTTCTGTGAGTTCCAGGCCATCCAGGGATACATAATGAGACTATCTCCAAAAAAGAAAAGGAAAGCAAGCAGCTACAGATAATATATAAATAAATGGGGTTTGTGGTGTTCGGGTGACCTAGGAAGGATTTTTTTCAGACTCCTAATATATATTCAAACACACTTAAGCCATTCTCCCTCCCTGATCTTCAGTTCTTACTCCTGTTTATTGAATACACACTGATTCTCTTTTGTTTGTTTTCATTTTGGTTTTTTCTAGACGGGTTTCTCTGTGTAGCCCTGGCTGTCCTGGAACTTACTCTGTAGACCATGCTAGCCTCCACCTCAGAGATCTGCCTGCCTCTGTCACCCAAGCGCTGGGATTAAGGGCATATGGGACCATGCCTGCTACACACTCATTCTTATTTCACCACAAATTCATCTCCCAATACCTACCTTCCTCATAGAGCCTCTTCGCCTCTCCCAGCACCAGTTACTTTGGGGAGGGGGAGATAAGGTGGGTTCACAGGAAACACAAGCCTTTTTCCTAATCTTCATTCAAAATAACTTTTGAGATTCCAAAGTAGAAAAACAATGTATTCTTACAACTTAGAATATCTTACTAAATATTTCCAAACAGTAATGAAAAAAGATCTACTGTGATTCGTGTCTGCAATATCCCCCACAGGCTCATGCTTTCAACACTTGTTCCCTAACTGGTGGCACTGTTGGGGGAAAGTCATGGAACTTTCAGGGAGTGAAGCCTAGCAAAAGGCTAGGTAGCTGGGGTGGGCCTTTGGAGACTACACCCACCCCTGCTTCCAGCTTCCCTGGTACACCATCAAGTGGGAGCCTCCACCATGTCTTCCAGTCACAATGAACTGAAGGCCTCAAAATCAGTGGCTCTCAACCTGTGGGTTGTGACCCCTTTGGCAAAATCTCTATCTCCAAAAATAATTACACTATTATTCGTAACAGTAGCAAAATTAGTGATGGAGTAGCAACAAAAATAATTCTGTGGTTGGGGATCACCACATCATGAGAACTGGATTAGAGAATCACAGTATTGGGAAGGTTGAGAACCACTGCCCTAGAACCTTCTCCAAAACAAGTCTTAGCTCTCTCAAGTTGTCTTCGTCAGCGATTGTGGCCACAGCAAAGTGACAACAACTAAGCTTGCCAAGGTGCTGAGATCTGCGCAGCCGTCGCCCATCTGACTTTGAACTAATTGACTTTTACAGGGCTTCTCCATCTAAAACTGGCTTGTAATACATTAATGTCTTTGAGGCAAATTCTGAAGTAGGCATTATTATGGAGAATCAGAAATTAACTGGCTTGCCCTGTTATAAAACTGATATGCCTTCCTAGTGATAAATCACTTCACACACTTAGAGATTAGTAAATGAAAAGGCTCTTTAATATAGTACCCATGCAGCTCCAGCTAATGCTCAAAGAGGAGCTGGTCTTCAATAGACTTTCTAATTTATACTCACCATAGGTGTGTGCATCTCATATGTGCTGTCACCCTCAAACCTCCCTCAGGTTCCAATTTCCGGTTCCACTTTAAACAATTTAAAAAGATAGGAGTCTGCAAGTCTGGCAACTTGGACAGTTGAGAGATGTACACAATAAGGATATTGCCAGAATTATTTCTTTCTATTTCTTAAGCACACCAATGTTGTTCTTTAACAGATGCTGCCCAGGTCCATCTTGTTCACCTGGCAGAATTGTGCTTTTCCTGATAAGAGCACAGAGACTGGCTGGGCAGTGGTGGCGCACGCCTTTAATCCCAGCACTCGGGAGGCAGAGGCAGGCGGATCTCTGTGAGTTCGAGCCCGGGCTGGACCGACAGCCTCCAAAACAACACAGAGAAACCCTGTCCCGTAAAACCAAAAAAAAAAAAAAAGAGCACAGAGACTTAATGGCAGGGTGCATGTTCTTTAATACGGGATGAGTCTAATGGCTGGTTGTCAGCCAGATTTCTCCTTTTGCTATGGGAATAGAGCCTAAGTGGAGGTCAATCTTGGTAAATCAATATTGACAGAAGCTTTCTTGGTATCTCTAAACTTCCATTGTGGAACAAACTTTTCATCCCTATAGTTTCTAACAAGTGTGGTGAGTACACTACTTTCCTCCCAGTCACAATGGAGGCAGCACTCCTTTAGCTAAATTCTACTTGGTGTCACTTAATAGTTCCTAATGACAATTATTAGTAAATCCTTTGTAGCATCAATTTTACTACTTCAAGTTTCTCCTACATCAGCCTGAAATCTTGAATTTCTTCTTTATAATATAGCATAGAATGTTGTAGAATAATCTTTTGTACACTGTGAAGATGTGTCTTTATCAAGACGCCTTCTGATTGGTTTAATAAAGAGCTGAATGGCCAATAGCTAGGCAGGAAGATGTCAGATGGGACTTCCAGGCAGAGAGAGAGGAGAGGAGATGACTCTAGGCACAGGAGAGACGACGTGGGACACAGAGAGGACACAGGAGGTGCAAGATAGAAGACAGGTAAAAGGCCACAGGCAAACCGAAGATTGATACAAATGGGTTAATTTGTTATAAGAGCTAGTGGGACAAGCCTAAGCTACAGGCTGAGCTTTCATAATTAATAATAAGTTTCTGTGTCATTTTTTGTGAGCTGGTGGCCCAAAGAAAAATCCTTCTACAAGACAATAGACTAGGACTCTATCAGTACAAAGAGTAAGGAGATAAGCCAAATTCCACATCTTTGTTTATCTCTCTTATCCTTTGCCAATCCTCCAACCAAACCGCCCAGGCAAAGAAAAGCAACTCCGTGGCCCAGGCATCTTTTCCCCATTTCATATTCAATCAGAGACCTTTCTGTAAGCAGAATGGAGTGTGAAGTTCCCTGGGCATGGACTGCTCAACCACTGTTTTCTTTCTCCCAGCTAGCTTTCACTGCAAACAATGACTGTAAATGACTCTTGTTTTGGACTCAGCTCCTACACTAGGTCCCAGAGAACAGACTTAAAACCAAAATGGAGTCACCCATGATAAAGTTAAACACTGCCAAATGGAAATTCCCCAGGAAAGCTAGTTTCAATGGGCATGATAATAAAGTCCTTCTGTTTGAATCATTGGCAAAAATAAGTAGTCTACAGTAACTTGATGTTAACTTGTCAATGATTCTCCTATTGTTCTGTCTCCCTTCTGGCTGAGGACAGCAAGAACACTAGCCTCCTCTGCTTACCCTTTCAAGGACTCCATAACCACAGAGGGAAGCCAATCAAGATCTTTTAACTAACAATGGTTAAACTTTGTTATTATTATGAAAAGTAATTTTTAGGTTTTTTAGATTGGTTAATGTTCTCTACTTTGGTCTAATTACTATTATGTGTTCTGAAATTTAGTTTTATTTCCTTAAATAGATAAAAGTTGCATTCTCTCTGTGAAGCAACATTATTACTAAATATATCTGTTGTTAGTCTTTCTCCACATGGCCTATCTTCAACTAATTTAAAAACTATGTATCAGCAGTTGTCATTTCTTCATAGTCGGTTCTTCAAGACTTGATCAAAATGCTTTCCAGTCCCACTGGCTGACTTACATTCATAGCTCTCCTAACACTCTCAAACAGCACTCTCAGTAGTTTAGGGAATTTTTAGCTTTGTGTAAAATTTTTTATTATTATTACAAGGAGTTCTAGACTCAGCTGAGCGACCTACCTCTGCAATGAAATCATGTAGCTCTCCTTCAGTAGGGCAGCATCCCAGTGATCTGATAATTGTCCCAATCTCTCTACGAACAAAAAAAAAAGTTGTAAACAATTTTAGAATATAAATTTTGGAAGGGCAAGTGTGGTGTAAATTATCAAATAATTATCTAGATTATTTCAGACCACAGGTAATAAAGCAAATCACCTTGCTCACACAGTACTGGCTCACAACTCTCTGAGAAACTCTCTAGGGAAAGTAAAAGACACACAAATGCACCAAGACAGACCAATGTTTTCACTGGCCAGCATAATGCAAACCCTGACTAGTTCAAGATCTCAAAACTCTAGAGAAGACATCAGGACAGGAGGAAGAAGGAATGACAGCCACCTGATAGCTGCTTTCAACTGTTGCTTAACTCTCATGGAGAAGGAAAGAGTACGTATGTTAAATATTTAGCGTGCTAATATGCACCTAGCTAATCTAACCTTGCACTGTGGGAACCTCATGGGTCCTGCTGGGGGCTAGCTACTGTTCTAACTAGAGACAGGCTAGATTAAATTTTAGTTCACTCTGCTTGCTGTACTCCTGCCTGCTTCAGTTGAATCCCATCCTCTTATCTTGAAAAAGCAAATGCTTACAAAGCTGTCTGTAGAAATAGTTGGCCATATTTGCTAAAGTAAGAATGTCCCAATGGCTACCCACAACATCTGCTTCTGTAAACACACTTAAACTGCAATAGTAACATCCTTTCAGTGGTCATGAGACCCAGAGACCACCCTCATATGGTCCATGCAGACAGGAATCTTCACATTTGCTCAAACTGCATAAGTTGTAAGAAACTGCAGGATGGGACCAGACTTTGCAAAACACTAGCTTCGGTCCATGCCTACTGGACTCCAGCTCTCTGGATGCTGCTTGGTTTTTTGTCTTTTTGTTTGTTTGTTTGTTTTAATTTTATGTGCATTGGTATTTTGCCTGCATGTTTGTCTGTGTGAGGGTGTCAGATCTTGGAGTTGTAAGCTGCCATGTGGGTGCTGGGAATTGAACCCAGGTCCTTTGGAAGAACAGCCAGTACTCTTAACCGCTGAGCCATCTTTCCAGTCGCTGCTTGGTTTGAAAGCTGGCCTCAGGTTCCAACATCTGTAGAATGATGATGCTGTTATCTACACCGGAGTTTTGCCAAAGCGGCCCCATTACTGACAAAGAACATAAAGAATGGTCTCTCGCACCAATCTACAGAGGGTGAAATCACAACTCCACAACTGGCCAGACTGGACAAGATCCCTACCTAAATATACCTAAAGGCAAAACAGCCAGTACCTTCCTCCAAACACATAAATGGATCTGGGGACACAAGGAGAGTCAAATTCTAATATAATGGAAAGCTCAGCTGAGGATAATATAGCCACTCAGTAAGTATTAATTACTCTCTTTCCTTCCTTCCCCATAACAATGAAATTCAATCCAACAAATAATCCAAGAAAAGTATACATTCAATTCAATAGTCTCTGCAAATAATAATGGGATTTGTAGTAGATTTTTATACATTTCCATTAAAATTAAAGTCATATTTGAATGTTAATTGAATTTCACATACATTCATTCACTCAGTACTTTAATTTCCTTACCATTCTGGATGATGTGAGAAGAATTTTATTTGCAGTGTATTTTACTTGTGAGGAAAAAGACGACAAACACTTTAAGAATTACTAGATTCTTTGCTTAGAGGCTGTGGTGAGCGTTAACAAAAGAGAGAAGCCAGACCAGCAGTGGGGACCTTCGTTGCTCACATTTCCTCATGACAAATGGTCGCCACCACACCAGGCAAGGTGTACTGCCTAGTTTTGTCAACTCAACACAAACGGGAGTTATCTAGAAAGAGTGCCCTAACTGAGGCACTGCCTCCCCCAGAGTCTGTGCTGTGTGATGCTCCTGACCATTACACCAACATAAAGCTCAACAAAGGACATTAGATTCAGGGGTCTTGTTCTGAAAAGAAAAATGGGGAAAATAGAAATGACAGGATAAAAGGGTAGATGATTGAATCTACTTCAAACTAAAGTGGCAACTGCTCTTGGCTTTTTCTTTTTCTTAGCTTTTTTTATTTAAATTAGAAACAATCTTATTTTATATATCAATCCCAGTTCCCTCTCCCTCCCATCCTCCCATGGCTCCCACTGACCCTCATCCCATCCCTCTTCTGCTCCATAGAAAGGGCAAGGCCTTCCATGGGGAATCATCAAAGTCTGTCACATCATTTGGGGCAAGGCCTAGGCCCTCCCTTGTGTGTCTAGGTTGAAAGAGTATCCCTCTATGGGGAAATATTGTTGCACTACCAGAGGCCCCATAGACTGCCCAGGTCTCCTAACTGACACCCATGTTCAGAGGGTCTGGTTCCATCCTATGCTGGTTTCTGAGCTGTCAGTCTGGGGTCCATGAGCTCCCCCTTGTTCAGGTCAGCTGTTTCTGTGGGTTTCTCCAGTCTGGTCCTGACCCCTTTGCTCGTCACCCCTCCCTCTCTACAACTGGATTCCAGGAATTTGGCTCAGTGCTTAGCTGTGGATCTCTGCTTCTGCTTTCATCAGCTACTTATGGAGGCTCTTCAGTGGCATATAAGGTAGTCATCATTCTCATTATAGGGGAAGGACATTTATGGCAGCCTCTCCACTATTATTTACATTCTTAGTTAGGGTCATCCTTGTATATTCTAGACATTTTTTGTAGTGCCCGCAAGGGCAGAACACTTCTTAAGGATTCAGACAAGGGCCAGAGGACTGAAATGAAGACAAAAGACAGCAAGTCATTCTTGCAAGGAGAATGTCCTTCATTGTAACAAGAGGGGAGCATTATATACCAGTTGGCAGGCATGGTGGAAAACTACCAAGGTCAGAAGTATGTGTTCCTAAGGCCCTCCGACAATAAGGATGGGCAGATAACAGGAACTTACATTCAGGCTTTACTGGAAGGAGGGGACAAGAGGTATTTGTTAGAAGCTCCTAGTCACAAGCTGGTCAGCAGACCCCCATGGGGGAAGGGTGCAACAATTTACCTAATGCCAGAATTCTCTTTAAACCTATGATGGCTCCCTCTATTACGACATCTCTTTTCTTGCTCTTCTCTATTCTTTCCCTGACTCGGTCTTCCTGCTCCCTCGTGTCTTTCTCCCCGCTCTTCTTCTCCCCTTCTCTTTCTCCTAACTCCCTCTCCTTTCCCCCCCCCCATGCTCCCAATTTGCTCAGGAGATCTTGTCCCTTTCCCCTTCTCCGGGCAGGGGCTATGTATGTTTCTCTTAGGGTCCTCCTTGTTTCCTAGCTTCTCTGGAGGTGTGGAATATAGGCTGGTAATTCTTTGCTCTATGTCTAAAATCCATATATGAATGAGCACATACCATGTTTGTCTTTTTCTGACTAGGTAGTTTCTTCTAGTTCCATCCATTTGCCTGAGAATTTCAAGATTCCATTGTGTCCCATCCCGTCGTCCCCCCGCTGAGTAATACTCCATTGTATAAATGCAACTACTAGTCTTAAATATTTCAATTTGTATGGATTTTTGCATATTGATACAAATTTAAAGTTAATTTTGTTACAGTATGTATGCTTCTACTCTTGTTTGGGGTGTCATGTTTATGCAACTCATTTAAAAATGTAATTAAGAAATACAGATTAATATTAATATATAATGGTCAAACTTACTAGGAATGTTTTCAAGGACATACACAGATTTAGATAGGTAGATGGTCTTCAAACACTTCAAAGAACTACAGAATATAGCATGTTTAAACCTAAGGCTTTTTATGAAAGTGAAACACATCTGCTCCTGACAGCACCAATTTACTTCACGAAGATGATGAGCATCGATGAACCTCCATACGGAGTTTGCTTTCTTTATGGCAAAAGCTAATCATTTGGGCAAAGAAACCACTCTCTGACTCAAAGCAAACTTTATTGTCAGAATGAGACAAAAATATCACACAACATCTATGGGCACGTCTATGAGTCATTTTCTTGACTAACAATTGGTGGGAGAGGGTCCAGCCCACTGTGAGTGGTGCCAGCCCTGGACAGTGGTCCCGGGCTATATCAGAAAACAAGCAGACTGAGTATGGAGAGCAAGCCAGCAAGCAGTGTTCCTCCCTGGTTCTGTTCCAGTGCTTGCCTCCAGGTTCCTGCTTGAGTTCCAGCCCCGGCTTCCCTCCATGATGGACTAAGACACCAAAGTAGAAACCAAATAAATCCTTCCCTGCCTGAGTTGGTTTTGGTTACAGTATCTATTACGTCAACAGAAAGCAAACTAATACAGTCTTCCTGTACATACATTTTACCCTTCCTTTGTTCCCTCTCATTTCAACCCTCTGTATTTTTTTTTTGACCATAGGGTTATCTAGGCAGATCTGAACATGACGGTCACTAGAAATACTTTACAAGATTATACTTTCTCTTATGATCTGAGCATGACGGCCACTAAAAATACATTACAAGATTATACTTTCTCTTATCTCATGAAACTGGGTAACACCAATATAATAAACATGCTATTGAAACAACAGATTAGCTACTTACTGAGTACATGAGAACAAATATTTCATAAGACAAGGATAATACTTATGTCTTGATGGGTTTCAGACTTTCCCCTTCACAACACTATCTGGTTTTGGTTACAATAAGAACTGCTTAAACGCCAGCATCTGAGGACTAACATTTAAAGCTATGCTAACTCACACAGCAAAAAGGATGACAAGAAAGGGAGTAGACAAAAACCTGACAGCTCTCGCATAGGGAATTTGAAGAATGTTGAGGTTCCTATTGTCCAATACCATAGTCACTACATCTGGCTCTTGTGGCAAAAGAATAAAATACACTCACATTTCAAAAACAGTAAAACAAGAATACAAAAATCTCACCTGTATTTAATATTCACCATAAATTTAAGATATGCTAAATATTAAAATATTTTAGACATATATGTGTAGTATATTATTAAACTATAGAACTTTGGGCAAGAGTGGCTGACACCACAAGTCATTGCTCATGCTGCCTGCAATATCACTGAGCAAGGAATCTCACGCCACTATCCACGAAACAA